GGATGGCAATCCAACACCTGGTCCTCCTCCGAAAAATAATAAAGGAAATAAACCACCTCCAAGTGGGTAAGAATGCTGATTATTCTTTCTGTGATTCAGCCTGTGCGATGCCTGGTGCTTCAAGCGTGTAGATAACTTTCCGTTCCCAGATACTGCTGTTTGCTAGGTCTTAAAATGATTTTTAGTCTCATAAAGAAAAAAATGTGCTGAAACGGTCATGTCACTTCAAAAGAGATTCGTTGAAGCTTTGCGCAAGGTAGAATTAGTTCGAAGAATATTGCAGCAACAATACAACTGACTGATTGACTAGCTGGCAGACTAAATAACTAAGCCACCAGTTGAATGACTTACTGACCGACTGACCGAATGGCCAACGGATGAATTCATGGATTCATTATTCATTTACTTTCTCGGAAACAGCAAGACCGGAAAATTTCAATGTGGAAAAGGACCTATCTGTTCTGGGAAACGAACGGGCTCTGACTGCGATCAGCCACATAGAGGGCTTCTTCAGAGTATGTGACAGTAAATGGACCTGCAAATTGCGAACTTAATTGCAGTAACGTCATTATAGAAAAAGCAAAAAGAGACAAAGAAAAAGCCGAATTCAAATCAATTGGCATATAGCGTAATCATATGTCATCGGCATTAAAATTTGATTATTGACAATAATTACTCGGCAGGGCCCAGTTGTCTCGAAAGCCGAGTAGCGCTGACCCAGGCTTAAATTTCAATCCAGGTTACTTTATTTCTTTGTTCAAAAGCCTCTCAAGGGAATTTTTCCCTATTCTTTTTTGAACACCCAATGATCAAATTGCAAGCAAAATGATTTGAACTAACTTTCCTTTTGAAGAATGGCTGCCTTGCGTTTTGTCAATGTTTTTGAGAAGGCGATAAGCGGGATGAAAGTAAATGAAATTGCGAAGAGAACAAAACATGCTACTGAGTTTGGCGGAGGAGTTTTTTAAAAGAAGAATGTAGATCTCATTTTTTTTGGAATCACTTGAATTTTCTATAACAACTACATCTGAAATTTTCAAGAAGTTGGAAGACCTTCTAGGTTGAAATTTTGAGAAAATTGTTCAGCTGACGTGCAAACAGCTACAGGGTATTTCTGTATGCTAGCTAATTCCTATTCGGCTTTTTTATTTTCTGTTTTTGCTTTTTCTTTATAATCTTATTGCAAATAGATTTGTGTTAAATAAGTTTGAATTCATGAAGCTGACATTGTGTCTAATATTACTATTACTAATATGAAGATAATCATGAAATCAGGAGCCGCATTTGTTGTATCTCTATAAATCAAAGTTCGATTTAATAATTCCACGAGTAAACGACCTTCGTACCAGTTTGTTTTATCTGCATACAAACACTTCTTTCAATTGTTTAAAATATGATAAGCGCGGATATTTTGCGAGGTGCTAATTTTTTTGGAAACCCACAAGAGCGGGGAAAAATAGGAGCAAAGCAATTTTTTAAACTTTGTTTTTTTTTAACTGTCCAACAAGGGATTTCTTATTCCATTTTCATCTCATTTTCAGAAATTTCGTCTACAAAATACTTCCTACGGCCGTTCTGAGCGTCTTATCGATTGCATAAAGAGTGCGCTAAAAACAAAACAACAAAAGCGAAACTACTTAAGTGTTCCTTCAGACCAATGTAACAACAAAATCAGGTTCACCTATAGGTTCCTTTCCTAAAAAGTTAAGCCTAAAGGCCAAAAAAAGCAAATTTTCGATATTCAGCGAGGCCATTTTGTTGCTCCACTTTCCGTCCGTATTTTTACCCTGTTCTTCAGCGTAATACTGTGGTACATTTTGCGTGTTCCTTTTCCCTAATCATGACAACGCGGCGAAGTAGTTAAATAACAAACGCTTTTATGTATATTTTAGTACTCTCGAAATATATCACTGCAATGATCTTTCTTTTGACAAAGTCATGATAATTCGCTTTACAGACTGTTCAGGTAACGGAGATCCTATCATAGCCCCAAAGTGTGAGGCGGAGTGTAACTGTTCAGGAGGATGGGAGGGAGAATTTTGTGAGCGCTTAATTGCAAATGGTGGAGGTGACCCACATCTGGAAACATTAGATGGTAAGTAGACAGAAAAAAAAAGATACCGCATTCACTTGTTTACGAGCGAGAGATAAAGGGAAATTTAAAAACCCTGAAAGAGGTCCAACAATTTGCTAATCAAACTACTCAGTTAAACGATAGATTTCGACAACCCTTTGTGTTTTCGTTGGTAAATGAGAGATTTATTTCAGGGTTTGTGTAATGTTTATGACTGCAGTTTTGATTTTTGCCTTCTTCGCCAGGTGTGAATTTTGACTTTTTTGGAAT